CTGTCGACACGTGTAATGCACTGTGGGTAGCCTGTGTTGTTATGGCTGATGTTGGCTGCCAGTAGATTGCGTTTGAAAACAAAAGCAAGTTATTAGTTTTAAAAGCTACCTTACTAAGTTATTCTTTTGTAACAAGGCCTCTCAGAGAGCTACGATGGTTAATTGCCTTATGAGTTTAAGGTAAAAACGAAAAAACGAATGATCTTCGTGCGTTTGCTGGGAGATCAACCAAATGATGTAAAAAATATGCAGAGATCGATATTTGATGCTGAGCTTTTAGTCAACTTGGATTTGTTTGCCTTTTCCTGACAGAAGTTAAGAAATATGGCTTCTGCTGCAGAAGATGACGAGGTGTGTGAAGAAGAGGAAAACACGGTCGATGAAGATGGCAGTTCTGCAACTTTGAAAGAAGGTTGGTTCTTACCCGTGATATTGAAGTGTTCGTGATAGTGATACGTCGAAAGAGGTGACACCAACTTTCATCTACCCCACGTCTGTGAGCAATTGTCTAAGACTGTTCATTAAGATGTGCAATTGGTTTCCTTCTCTCATTGTAGGGTTAAAAAAGTCGTCTTCTGACTCGAAGATCAAGAAACTGCGAAGAAAAATTTCGCAAGGACTAAGACTTTGTGAGTAATACAATTATCACTTAAACGTCATTTGATCTTGCCCATTATCGTTGATCTGAATTTAAACAGACTGCTTAGAACCAATTAGGGTTATGTTGTAAGAATACGTGATCGTAATACTCCAGCTTGGGCTTTTACATCGATGTTTGATGATCAGATGATCAGCTCAAAGACCAAATATCAAACAAACTGTGCACAGTAGGTAACACTGGCTCCTTTCAGACATCGTATGGTTCTCTCCCGCACACCGAAAAAGATGGTGCTCCAGAGTCATTGTGATAATCATGTTAAACTAGTGCTTTAGTAAGTGAGAAATGGAGCTTGTGGTGGTAGAGTGGGGGAGGTTCCCTTTTTAAACTTTAGGGGGAAAGGTTAAGTCTTATGGGTGCTAAGCTTTTCTCACATCACTAGAAGTATTGTTACACCTGGAATGGATGCTTCTAGGTGTAGCAAGGGTCCCTCCAGGACCCTCTGGAAACCAGCTTCTTAGCTGAATGAGCTACTCTGAAATTTATCTGCTCTGCTTTTCTCTGTGGTGGGTAACCCCTTAGAAATTTGTCAGGTTGCTAATAGCCATATATTGAGTAAATGAATTTTGTACTCCAGAATATGGAATAGAACTGTGAGAGTCAAGTTTCTCATTAGAAAGCACAACACAGTGCCTTAACTACCACATGTTAAACATTCTTGTAAAGATTTGTTTCAATCATTTTTAACAAAATTTTGTATGAATTTGTGATGAAGGGTTAGGGTTCCATGCTATTAGAGGCGCTCCTGATAATGGTCACTTCTTCACAATGGAAGCAGACACTGAATAAGGGTCCTCCAGACACAATGCCAAAATAACAACTTAGTTTTGTTGTCTTTTTTGAAGACTTTTCTGGTCATTTTCAAAGTTTTGCAGGATACTCTTATGGTTGTCTAGAAAGGCCTGATTACTAGATGGGCTTACTTGTAATGGCTTTTCACTTACTCAATTTAGGTTTCCAATTTGTTTTTGCGGGTACAGACATCATTTGGCATATGTAATTTCAATTCACCTTTTAGCATTCATAAAAGATGAGAGCGGTGGACCAGGTGTCGCTGTACAAAATAACAGACATGCAGAGGTATGATCTTCTCAGCATTTAGTCTGTTAAAACCTGTATCTATTGTTGACTAAGTATAGTAGTATCCCAGTAACATCTTCATGAACTATACTAGGGTACAATATGATAAGCTTTTTAGCTTAACTGTAACACTAATGTAGACATAAGCACATTCACACATGGGAGTATTTTTTTTGCTTCGTTTGTCTGATTTTTAGAGATGTGAAGTGGAGCCTCAAAATTGGGAGAAAATGAACGTGGCTGGAATTTGAATTGGGACAATTATTTTTGTATCTTGAAGAAAATTTTAACATTTCTGCCTTTAAAGCCTTATTATGGCTGTGTCCTTTCAGCCCTACTATCAGGAAGAAATCAAATAAGTTTGTCAATTTAGTGATTTAAGACCAGTGACAGGAAGTAAAAAATCAGTTCTTCCATGAATCCACCAATAAGTGGTATTCATTTATGATCTTTCTCTCTTTCAAACAGACTGATGATGTTTTCATGGAGTCCAGCCCTTGTGCGAGATCAAACAATCCTGTTGTTAGACCAGTGATGAGAAGGACTTCATCAGACTCAATAGGCACTCGACTGAGAAAGATCAGCTTTGAGATTGGTTATGGTAGAAGGCATTCTGATGAATTAGCACCTGGGGAATTAAAAGGCCTACCAGAGGTACATTGATAATAATGGTGATTATGGTTTGATAGTAATGATGATCACTATCAATGAGTTTTGAACAACCAAGGCCTTGCCTCTATTGTAATATTTTCCTGTGAAAACTCAGTTCCCTTCAGCATGTCAGCGTATTTGGAAACCAAGAGCAAAAGAAATCAAAGGATTTTTACTTTAAATGAATGAAGAACCTGAATGTATCACATTAAAAAAAACATCAAAGGAGTCCTTGGTATTTGCATACTTGAAGTTCATACTTAAGCATTTTTTAGTAATTTTTTTTGTAAAAAGAGATAACTTTATGTTAGCATATAGAGTGGTATGTTTCTTACACCAATCAGATCGCCGCATTAGGGTATTATCTCGCACCAATCAGATTACAGCATTAGGGTATGCATCTAGTACCAATCATACCATAGTAAATTTTGAATATCTTGCACCAATCACAGTGTTTGGGTATTGTTTTCTTGTAAATGATGTCATGGATTTAGGGGCTATGCACAAAGAATGGTATTAACTAGAAATACTGGGCTCATTTGATAAGTGTAATGGTTTATTGCCTTCGTGAGAGCTTCGTCAATTAAGTTTGAGATTTATCGGGATAGGAAAGTTATGCATTTAAACTTTTAAGTTAGAACATGTTTTCTCTGCTCCTTTATGCACAATGCATATGCCAAACAACTTACAGTCCATCATGTGCCATGAAAAAAACCTCCAAAGTCCAATCAGAACATATGCAATCATTGCACTACATGAACATTAAAGTAATTTTTTATGTGCTTGAATTGTATCAGCCACCAATCAAATTCCATTTTGCCACATTGGACTTCACTCTATCATGTGTCATTTCCTTGTAAACAACCTGCATTTTATCTTGTATTTTAACTGCATTGTCCAACCCCACCAAAAAAACTTTACATGGAACTAAATGCTACTGCTATTGAGTTTTTCCAAGCAATTCTCTCACATTTGACTTTTTCCATGAATTAAAGTCACTCTGAGCTACCTTGGACTCAACCCAATTGCATGTTAATTCCTTGTAAAACAACCTCCATTTTATCATGTATTTCACACAAAGAGGGCAAAGTCCAGATAGGCAACAGCCAATCAAGGGGCCCTCTTTGAAATGTTATCCTTTTCTCTTTTTAATGTATCTTCACTTATTCAAGATCACAATATATCTTTGGTTATGGTCTATTAGAGGTACAGCAGCATTTCAGTTTGCTTTTCTTAGTAAATAATACGGAATTATATTTTTGAGGTAACTAACTGTAATTTGAGGTATTCTGATCTTGTTGTGCAATTCGCTCTCCCTCAAATGGGAAGAAGAGAGTGTTGTGTGACGAGACCAACAACAGCTGCGAAGTAGACAACAATAAGCGTGACACCGATGCATTTCATTTTAACTAAGACATATTTAGACAATAGAGACAGTAGATCACATATATCTGTGTGAGTTCAGATGAATTACAGATAGGTTTTTTCTGTCTTTGTGCCATATTTTTGTTTTGTGAAAGTTAAGTTCTTTTTGGTGACAAAAATGAAAACATTAAGTACACAAACTGTCCCATCTCAACCCATCCAGCAAAAAAATAACTCTTACATGCTATGCATACCTATGTTAAAGAATTCTAAGCAAAAATGTATTTTTAAATTTAAGGTAACATTTTGGTTGATTACTTTGTTTTGAAGCCCCTATCTCCTCCATTTGGTTGCCTTGATGCTTATCAAAAACTGGAACAACTTGGAGAGGGCTCATATGCAACCGTGTTCAAGGGGATCTGTAGGTAAATATAAAATTATTCCCAAATGATTTTGTCTATCTAAAGGTTATTTTTAAAATCAGTGCAGTTCTTGCGGTGAAAAAAAATTCTACATTATTTTACTATTGGTTTGTACTGATCACATTATCTACAGAACTTTTTTTATTACTGAGTTTGCAGTATTTCATTCTTTTAAGTTGTTTTATGACAGATTATTTATGAATAGGCAATTAAGTATAAATTTGTTTTTTAAGAAAAGCATAGATCAGATGAAAAGGCTTTCAAAAATATTTTGTGTGGCAATTATGGTGAACTCAGGAGTGTTGGTGTTTTGTGACACTCAGAAAGCAATTCATCATTGAGTGCCTGATCATAGTTAAAATTCTTTCTTTTTGCCAAATGTATCCAGGGCAACAATATCACAAATGGAAAGTTAGTGGTGGGTGGTTTAAAAAGATTGCAGCATTTAATGTTGAAATAAGCTAAACTGGAAGCAAAACAATTTAATAAAAAAAATTTTCATAATAAGGTTGAGGTTTGAGGGCTCTTGAAATTATAGTTTTTTAGTTTTTATCCAATCATGGCCTTCAAAAGTGACACAATGATACAGTGATATATTTTGATATTTATTTATCATTCCTTGTGTCAGCAAAAGTTCAGAAGGGTAGCAATCAACTCTTACAAATCATACTTCAAACAGGCTTTGATTTATTGTACGTGCTATGATATGATTGTGCAGTAAATACTTTCTGTGATTATTAAAAATTTTTATTGCTGACGAGGACATTGACAACCAACTCTGATCAACAGAAATCTTTAATCCTAGTGCAAATAATAAAATTGTGGCCCTCAAAGAGATCAGATTGCAAGAAGAGGAGGGAGCACCTTTTACAGCAATCAGGGAAGGTAACAGCTTTATTATGTATAGTTTTTAAGGAAGGGTGGTATCCTATCCACTGTGTGTTGTGTTGCCTGTGTAGTACTAGCTTTGTTGCAAAGTTTTCATAAATATGACAGCTGGACAACATTTTTAAGCAATGACTTTGGCCACAACCTCTAGCTAACAAATAACCTAATAATTCTCTCTTCTCTCACTCTCAAATCACTTTCAAGTTTTTCTGCAAGAATTGATTTCTAAATGAATTTGTGGTACCAAATGTGTTTTATAATTATATAGATTGACAAGCAGCCTAAAAACTTTTGTAATTTAATAATCCTTCTCAAAAAGAAACTCAGAAAGTTAACTGAGAGAGGTATTTGTAGTTAACAACTATATTAATCAATGAAAGTTAATATCTGATAAAATGCTCCTAAAAAATTTGTAGGTTGTGAAATGTTGAGCAATACTTTTCCTAGTTTTTTAATAGTTCCATGAATTTCAACATTTCAACCTTGTATTTTGGGAAGTAATTCGCTGACTAAAAGTTGCAATCAATCCCCATATGTTATGCAAGAGAAAGCATCTCATTTGACTTCTGTTTTTTGGTGGAAATGGGACAAGATTTACACTCCCACAACTTCAAAACATACATTTGAATTTTCTTACAATTTAAATTTCCTTAACATTCTTTGTAAATTAATCATTGTTGGAAGAGAAAAATATGTTTGGTAATATTAGAGAAGAAGAGGAAGTCATTGTGATAGTCATTTAACTTGAGGACATACTTCAAGACTTCAGGGACAGTTTTTCCCAACTCTGACCTCCTGGCTGGTGAATAACATAAATAAGATAAAGAGACATGAATATATAGACTTGCTGAAGCCATTGTGCATGTAAGAGATAAGTGTTTCCAAAGTATCTGTATGTTTGGCCAATCTTGAATGACAAGAAATTATTAGTTTGTAACTAGGTGTGTACTTTCTTGGCAATAGCATCTTGGCAATGACAGTAGACATTAAAAACTTTGGAATTTAAATGATGTGGTCACTGGCTTTGTGAAAAGGATTATGATAACAAACCTTTTTTTTTTTCAAAAAAAATAACTGTTGCCAGTGAAAGTGGATTTTTCCCTTTTTGTTACTGGTGAAATATGATCATGATCTTGAGAACTAAATGATATTTACCATTAGCGATGGTCATTGTTTGTATTTGTTTGATTGATTGTTATTTTTTAGCTTCTTTGTTAAAGCAGCTGAAGCATGCCAACATTGTAACACTTCATGACATTATACACACCAAAGACACCCTTATGTTTGTCTTTGAGTTTTTGGTAAGTTTTAATGTTTGTTAGAAACAAGCATCTCATCAGTGTTTCTTACAGTGTATGAATTTTTTTTTGTTTTTGAAATCCACCACATCCCCTATCACAGGTATCCCCTTCAAAAGAGTTTCATGGCCCTCTTTTTCATGGATGGTAGGCAAGATGTTGTTTAATCACTTTTGTCTACCCTCACACTTTTAAACTGTGCTTTCTTGTTTTCATTTGTGGACATATTGAGTTTTGGAAAAAAAAAAGTATTAATTGTTACTATTTAAAATGAGAGTTGTCACAGATGTAATTGCAGTGAAATTTTGCATGCTTTAATTGGTTGGCATTAACAGGTAATCACTTGCTCAATGCATTGAATGCATTTTAAAAAATTTGTACCATTTTGGACTTAGACACATTCATTCTGAAAGCACTGAACTTCTTGTCGTTCAATTTTTTAAACAAATCATATTGTCTTGTGATTTCAAAAAAACTCAGGCTTACTCGATTTTGAAATCACAGGACAGGTGTGAGTATTGAACAGAAATTATGCAAGGAAAGGACCAGTCACAAAATATAAAGTACTTGGTTTATTATAAAAAATGTGCACTTAAATACTTAACATCATGTATTAACATGGAATGTTGCTGTTGTTGTTTCCGTTACATTTGACTTTGTCTTGTGGCCACCCCCACCTTCCTCAGCAAAATAAAAACATGCTTACACAGTAAGAACTATTTTCTAATAAAGTGATTTATAGTGACAAATTTTCAATTTTTTTAACTGTTTTGAAAATGTTCTTTGCTTTAGGACACAGATCTTAATACTTACCTTGAAAAGTATCCAAGAGGCATCCCTCCACAGAATGTCAAGGTTTGTGAAAAACATAATTATTTGAATATTGTATTGTGATTAACACCTTTGTTGTCCTATTCCATTTATGATTATTGTTTCACTCATTAACAGTGTTATGGTTGACATAGGACATGTTCTAGAGAAAAATGATTTCTGACATTCAGGAAGGAAAAGAAACTAAGTAACATAGTTATAATGAGGTAAAAAATAAAGTGAAGCAGTTGTTCACATCAAAGGTATTCAGCGGATACACTAAAAAAATGGTCCTAATAGTAATCAGGAATAAATGACAAAGTAACACTAATGACTTGCATGCTCAACAAATTCCTCAATCTAGGAAACAATATGTAAACTGCCTGTACCCTGTTTAGACATCTCAGTTATCAATGTCTAGATTCATATTGGTAGAGACTAATATTCATGTAAGAATTTTTCCAGTAACTGTCACAAACTAGACAACTCTTGACAATCATTTTGTTCTTTAGTACAAATCATCTTTTATCCATAATGTGATGCCTAAGGTGTAAGAACCATCTCTAAATTTTTAAGTGATGATGATGAGATGGTGTTGAGGAAAACAATATTCAGTTTTTCTTGGTTTCTCACTTGTAGGCTTCCATTTTGTTTTGCTGAACTGGAAAATTGTTTATCAGTCCTTGTGTACATAAATCATTTTGTTTTACGTGATATGTAACTCACCAAATTTATTGAGATTACTTTTCTACCCAGAACTGTATCATAGTCCATCTTAGATAGTTTTCTTTTTTATTTTAATGAGTTGGAAATTCACTGATTTCCCATGATGTTCGTTTAGGCTTAAACAATTTTTGCTTTGTTTTACTGCAAAAGATTTTTTTTTCACAGATAGTCACAAATTTCATTTTACAGGTGTTGTAACCTGTGAATATTTGAAGCCCCAAGTCTGTTTATGAGCTAACAGTGCATATCATGGCTAATATTTGTTTTCTTCACTTCTGTTGTATGGCATGGTTTCTAAAGATTAAGTTATTAGTTTTGAAAGAAGACAAAATAGGCCAATCATCTTTCTGTTCTTGCTTGCAGCTGTTTCTGTTCCAACTATTACGAGGATTAGCTTATATTCACAAAAGAAAAATTCTTCACAGGTGATGGAAAGTTACAAGGAGCAGTAATGATCATAAATTTTACAAGATCATTGCATGTGTACCTGATCATGATTAGGATGTAACATACGGTCCTGAGGGAAACAGTAAATTTTGTTTTCCCAAGAGTCCTAATGTTTCCCTTGTCTTAGGATACATCAGGACTTGAAGGAAAACAAAACTATCTAGTCTCCCAAGAGACCATACTTTAAGTGCTTTGTTATATGTTTAGACCTTCCCTTAAAAAATCATAAGGCAAAAACAAACATACAAAGATGGCACAACTTCTTTATTCACAATCATGAATAAAGAATTGTGAGCATGTGCTGAAGATCATGCCATTTTTAATTTAGTCATGCACTGATCACATGCTGTTGTATTTGGCACGTGGGTAACAACTGCACAATTGTATCCCGGTCTGGATACATTTCAATTTGATCAAGTACATGTGACCAAGAATCAACCGATCACAGTGCTCATTTTGATGAGTGAAAGTCTAGGTATATAACAACATAAATTGTTTATCTCTTAAGGAATCCTGATAAGGGTGCAGTGCATAATCCATGTTAATTAAGGGGCAATTTGTGAAATGTGCTCCGCCGTGATACTGAACCCTCATTAGCAAGCATAGGAGGTGCAGATGAGGAGTTGGGTTGTATTTACAGTTACATCCAAAGTGGTAGAGAGTAGAGAAAATAAAGAAAACTGCTGCCAGTCAGGGTGGTTGCAGGAGGAACCCAATTTTTTTTCTCTTGATTACTGAAAAGTCTCAATATTTGAGGTGAAAACAAAAAGGAAAATAGAATGCCCTTACATTTTGACTACCATGGTTTGGCATCAAGATGATAGCTTTTCATTTCCCAAAGTTTGATTGGAAAATGATTGGGAAAGTTAGAAGAATGCTGAATGTAGTGATACTGGAGAGAATCTGATGTGGCTTCTTAACTTATCCAGATGAAAGGTTATTTCTTATGTCCTCGTAATTTGAATGGAATCATTTGACATAGGATTTTGTTATTTCTTTAATGAAGGGTACATTCTGTTGATGTTTTATAGGGACTTGAAACCTCAGAACCTGTTGATAAATGAGAGTGGAGAGTTAAAGCTGGCTGACTTTGGTGAGTTAGATAATATTGTTTGTATGTACATGTATATTTGAATCATCTCTCTTGTCAATCCTGGTTTTCAAAGCAAACTGAAGGAAATAAAGTATTATTGATGAAGTTTGTGGGGAAGAAATAATAGGGAAGGGTTTTTTCAGTGAGGAACAACTGAGTCGTGTATATTTTATGATATAACCTGGGAAATATGATTCCATTTTCTTGATGTCTAATTTTTAAACAGTTTAAGTGAAAAAGAACTGAGTTTGTAAACATTAGATAAAGCCTGGCTGTGTTCATGTGAACCAGGGTTAAAGCTCCCCCAGTTTGTTTTTTTTAATATATATTTTAACTAAGTTATGCAGATTATTGCATAATGTACCAATTTGCCATTTGTTTTTATATTAGAGCTTGTTTTTAAGGAAAGGAGGGGACTTATTTTTAACAATTCTGTTTGCATAGGTTTAGCACGAGCCAAGTCTGTTCCCAGCCACACATATTCACATGAAGTGGTCACACTATGGTAATTAAACAAATCATCAAAATCAAACTTCATAAGACACCAGTAATACTACTTTGCATTTCAAATTATTGTGCTTGAGCATAAGGATGGTTTTCATCATTTTTGCATCATTTTTGGTTAGAAATAATGCTATTGTCATTTAGTATACATTAAAACAGTAGACAGTGATGTAGGGAGGTACTCATTGGCTACTCAAACTACAAGTATCCTATGTCATTCACCTCTGAGCAACTTGCACACTATTTGCACCTGAAAATGTTGTAATCATTCCAGGAATAAACAAGTTAAAATCATTTTTTGCTTAATCTTATCCCAATGTTTTAGTGCATACTAAAACAACTATTCACTGTAGCATTGGTGTAGCAGAGGATATTTTCCTGCCTGGTTCAGTAAATATCCACCACTAGCCACCACCTCTTGAGTAAATAGTTGTTTGAAGATCCTTTACCATGCCCACTTCGTTTGAGT